TGTGTGTGTGTGTGTGTGTGTGTGTGTGTGTGTGTGTGTGTGTGTGTTTATAAACATCCCAAAGAATCATAAAATTTTTTAAAACTGATCCATCATATATCTAATGGAAGTAAAATTTATCCACTCCCTCCTAGCTGGAAACGTGTTTAAACGATCGTACAACAGTACTCTCATCGAGATCCCAAAGTATTCTGGCTCAAGGTCCTCATTGTCCACACCTGGCTGGAGCCAGAGGTTTGGGTTCTCAATAATGGCCCCTTCAAAGTTGAGTCTTTAGATGAGACGTCTCCATCTATCCCTTGGGGGGTTTAAATATCGTCCAGCTACCACAATCCCATACTGCATCCTTTTGCTGTGTCCCACATGCTCCTGGGGAAACACGTGCAGAACTGCTTAGCCTTTTGATCCTGAAAACATGTCCTTTAAGGTTGCTGTATCAAAGGACTCCTGAAACCTTTGCTGGAAGCCAGCCAGGCCCCTTCACCTCTCACAACCTTCAGGAGCAAGGCGTTCCTGAAGGCCCTGAACCCTAGCTACTCTCTGTGAATACAACTGAGGTTCTGTGACTCTTCAGACCAAGCAGATTTCCGAGGAGTGAAGCCTGAAGAGCACTGGGCGTCTGGGCTAGAAGGGAGCAGAGGTGTGTGGTAAAGTACACGTCCTGGGGCTGCCACAGCAAGGTCCTGAAAAGCAGGTGGTTTAAAGAGACAAACTTTTGTTTCACAACTCCATTAGCCAGAAGTCCAGCATCAGGGGTCGGATGGGCATGCCTTCTCTGGAAATTCCTTCCTGCCTCTTCCACACTAGTGACCCTGGGTTCTTGGTCCTGTGGCTGTATCACACCAACCCCAACCTCCATCTTATCTCTCTAAACACCTCTGTTGATGGCTTTTGTTCTGTGTGTCTAAAGAATTCATACAATAGAATTAAAGGCATACCATATGGCACAGAACCAATATGCTCTCTGAAGTTCCTTTCCCCGTTTTTGTTTTTGTTTTTGTTTTTGTTTTGCATTTTAGGGTAATATTCTCAAGACCCAGGTATTGCAGTGTGGACATACTTCTCAGTGAGCCACACTGCAGTAGTGGGTCATCCCCAGTAAGACTTTAGAAAAGGGATTTGAACCCAGGCCTGGACAGTTTTCAAATCCTCTAATGTTTCTTATCTTCTCCACATTTCACTCCCTCATCTTATTCTCAACGCAGAATCTACCTCACAGAACATTTTTAGGCCGGAGGAGACCACACAGAGCTGCTCCAGCAAGAGCCAGCACCCAGGCGTGCACAACCCTCATCCCTTGTGTCATATGTAGAGAAGATGTCTTTTTGAATGGTTTTACCTATAGTTATGTAGTATTTGGATGGGTAACAGATTCTGAAAGCTGTCTAGTTACATCCAAACTGTAGAGATGCTTAATATCCTAGTATCCAAATACCATATCAGTCAAAGGGTGGCTGAAGATGCAGCTGAGATATAAATATTCTAGGCATTAAAAAATAGAAGACTGCAAAAGTGTATGCAGTCTTGCCCTTCCCAAAATTAAGTCTGCCTGAGTAAAAGAAATTAATAACCCAAACAGTGTAACTCGAATGTTTCTAGAAAGTTGAACCAATGCCAGGAGAAGAAATGGGGCAAGGAAACACCCATCTCCAGAGAGTCAGCCTAGGCAGCCACAGTGGAATGAGGAATAACCGCCCTGTGAGGTCACTTAGTCTTCACTACAGCAAACGAGATTCCAGGGAAAAAAGACATCAGACCAAACAGTTATTTGAACTCCCCAGTAGACTCTGGTTCCATTTACCGACTAGAGCTCCTATATTTTGTTCCCATTTAAAAGAAATGTCTTTTCTTTTAAATTTACTTTTAAATATAATGGTTTTATGATTTGGAAAGAAATGTATTTTACCGCACTGGGAATAGTGTAGGTGTGCAGCTAAGCTACAATCAGAGTATAGATATAAAAGTCAAAACTTGGTAGACAGAGGCAGCGTTCATATAAACCAAACCTTGGGAAAAGGGGGCAGAGTACCTCAGCAAACCTTCCATCTTACAGGAAAGTTGAAGTATACTTTTTATCTATGCTAAGTCTCTCTAAGTTCCGAGCCAGGTGGTCTAAATAGTGAGTTCCAGGATAGATGGGGCTTCACAGAAAGATGATGTCTCAAAAACCCTATAGGGCTGTATATATCAAGTGAGCACATCTGCCGTTCATCTCCCTGTGGACTGTCTTGAGTGTCCTCATGGCCCCACTTTGCTTTTCATCATGTGCTATGTGATTGTGGTGGTTGGCGTGAAAGTGGCCCCAATAGGCTCAGCGAGAAGTACTGTTAGGAAGTATGGCTTTGTTGGAGTAAATGTCTCTGATGGAGAAAGTGTGTCCCTGGGGATCAGCTTTGAGGTTTCAGAAGCTCAAGCCAAGTCCAGTGTCTCACTTTCGCTTCCTGCTGCCTCGAGATCCAGATTTAGAACTCTCAGCTACTTGTCCAGCACCATGTCTGCCGGCATGCTGCCATGCTCCCTACCATGATGATAATGGGATGAACCTCTGAACTGCAAGCCAACAGTAATGAAATGTTTTCCTTTATAAGAGTTGCCATGGTCATGATGTTTCTTCTCAGCAATAGAAGCCCTAACAAGATAATGATGCATATGAGTGCAGGGATAAAAAGTATACTTCAACTTGCCCTTAAGATGGAAGATTTGCTGAGTACTCTGCCCCCTCTTCCACTGACACCCCCATTTCCAAAGCGCTCACCCAGCCTGCAGTGGGAATAGTCAGTGCTTCTCTAGTTTACAGTCCTAGTTCTAACAACCTCAAGAGGATAAAATGCCCCTTCTCTCTTCTTTCCACCTCTTCTCCTCATTCTCTGTACTCTCCCTTCTGTGTGATATTTGCAATTAACTGTTTCAGACAGTGAACAGAAAACCAGATACATCATAAGATACTTAACATGCACCGATGCCAGATATTACCTTGGGATCTGAGAGATTTATCTGGTTAAGCAATAGAAAGCATATTAACACTAAGCCTATTTGTAAACACCAGATGCATCAACTACAAGACTCTGTCTTTAGTTCCTGCAGCTACTACCAACAGCTGCATCTATCATGCACAGAGGGATGACACAATGAACCACAGGGGTCAGACCGATCGCAATACTCCAGTCCGAAGGGGACTCAGACCTGTAGCACCTTATTTCCACTCCCTTGCTGTGGCAGGCTATTCACTTCCTTAAGTTTACTCATCAGCATCATTTTTACATATAAATGCTGAGGGAGGCACATGGCTTTCTCCTCTAGCATAAACATGGAAGGAACATGTATTGATTTCCACATGAACCTTACAGAACCACTTGTCTTTAGCCCAGAAAGGTGGACATCAGCTGTTTTCCCAGAAACCTTGGGCTACTGTGTAAATGGAGACTGTGCAATCATTTTTCGGCTGCCTAGACCCGAATAATCACACAGAAACTACATTAATTACAATACTGTTTGGCTGATGACTCAGGTATATTTCTAGCTAGCTCTTATATCTTAAATTAACCCATTTCTATTAACCTGTGTGTTGCCATGAGGCTGTGGCTTACCAGAAAGGTTCTGGCAGGTGTCTTTCTCCTTCAGCAGCTGCATGGTGTCCTGCGCTTATCTGTGGAACCTCACTCTCCGGTACAGGGCGCGCTTCCCGTACAGAACCGCGAGTCTGGATCAATATCCTAGGAGTTGAAAACAGACACAGAACACACAGAGAGACCGGATCATTTGCCCAAAGGGTAAATGTCAACTTTATTCAGCACACGTAGGCTTATATACTTGGAGGTAACAGGACGAGAGCCCCCTCCTACCTGAGAGTGAGAAGAGGGGTGTTGGCCGCATGGCGCTAGCAGCTGGAGCCTCCATGTAAGGGGTATCGAGCTGGGAACCCTGACAGACAGATGGGAGGAGATTTAGGGCGCCTGTGAGGACCTTCCTTAGCAGGTGAAATTATCATAGCAATGACAGAAACAAGACTTTGAACTAATTCCCTCCGGCTGGCAGAATGAGCAGGGGAAGCTAGACTGGTTAGTGTAAACAATTCTTGCATCCTGTGCTTCGGCCTCGAGGAACAGGGAAGACAGGGCCCTACAGCATGGCATCTCCCTGACTCTGCCTACTCTCTCTATATCTCGGTCAGATTTCCTGCCTGGCTTTACTCTGTTAAGCCATTGGATGAAACAGCTTTATTCATTATCCAATTAAAGCAACACATATACAGAAGGACATCCCACATCACTACTGTGTGTGATGGACTACCAAGAAATTCTATGGATTTAATTTAGTAAAAATTCAGATGGGAAACAAACTTATCAAATCAAAGACCGCAGTTATTGATGGCACTTTGTATTTAGCCTATAGATAACTGAAACGTGATAATCCATCAGCATCATGCAATATCCTTTCAGGTAGTTTCAAATCACATAAGCAGACCTTTAAATGCCTATTCTTTGTCAGAGCAGTGATGAAAATGTTCTTTCCAGTACTTGTCAAATATGATGGTGTCATTTGTTATTATTGAGATTTTTTTCATTTCTAACTTTTTCAGTCCTGGAACACCACAACCACAGTATTGGTTAGGACTTTTGTATAAGTTTCTTATTGGTGATGGCATAGGCATCTATAGCTCTCCAGACCTCTTCTTGTGGTAGAACGTGAGGGAGCAAAGAGACCTCTTGACCTGATTGCACCCAACTCTTGAAGGGTCCTTGATTTGACTCCCTGAGGGCATTTCTTCTAGGAGACATGAAACATCTTGCTTCCCTCATATGAAAATGGGAATATGAAGACTTTCAGGTTCTAGGCTAGAGAATTAGAGTATGCGTGCGTGCGTGTGTGTGTGTGTGCGTGCCTGGGTGCGTGTGTGTGGAGTGCTCAGAACTATACAAAACATTTCCAAGTACAGATAAGCTCACACTGAAGCCCACATCCCACAGAAACGTAGACCGCCATTTCTGAGTAGGTCTTTGGGACCCGTCAGGCTGCAGCTCCGTGCATTGCCCTCTGAGCCCCCTTCTCTCTTTCATCGCCATTGCTGACTCTCTAGAGCACCTCTCTCCCTGGCATTTCTGCTCCCACTTCACAGCCTCTTCTCCTGCTCTCCCCTAAAACATTGTGAAAACGTCCCATGCATTCGTGCCCCTTCTTCTTCAGATGAACTGAGTTTTTAGGATACATTTCATCCATGAAAGAAATCATAGAATCAGAAAGGTGCAATTTCATGAGGTCAGTTGAGGGTATCAGAGAATCCTGCTCACTTTTCTAGTGTTAACAAGGACTTCACTTCATTCTCAAACTATTTCCAGTTATTTTCCTTATTTGCAATGAATAGGTCAAAGTCACCTTCAACATTTCTTAAAAGAAGATAGAACTTCTTGGTTGAGCCTTTGTGCTCACCCTCAGATGACCTGAGCTGCCCACTGCGAGAGGCAATTTATAGAGAAATAAATTGCCTTTGTGTTCCTTATCTATAAGCTGTGATAATAATAGCAGCTATAGCTTTATTCCATTTGAGAACTACTAGCTTGTATAATATTTTGAAGATAAAACACACAGGAGGAAACTGGGAAACAGGCAGGATTTTCATAAGGAGTGATTTTTATCATTGTTCTACAAAGGGAGTTGAGACGCTCTCTCAGAGGAAGACTATTAATTCTTCAATGTAAATAATCTTCTGTATTGCATATATCAAACATTCAATACGCGGAAAACAAAAGTATGGGTCCAACTGCCCCACAATCACAAAAGGATATGTCCTATTGCCCTGTGATGGACAGAAATAAAGGAAGGAATGAGCAAAGCAGAAGAAAATTCCAGGTCAACCTCTGCAAAACCAAAGAAGAAAGAGTTATTGCCGCTAGAGTATGACAGGGGAGGAGCTTCCCAGGAGAGCGACTGCTCCATCCCTGGACTAACAGAAGGACACAGAGAGAACAGGCTGCAGATGACTGGCCGGCCCACCAGTACACTGTCCTAACTGAAGCACAGGAGAGTGCACAGCTTCACAGCCTTCATTGCAGTAGCCCTTGGATGAGATGAAGAAATGGGGAGATTTGGGAGATCCAGATCTGAGAACTATGAAGAAATAAAGTTGATAAGGCCTGGTAACTGACATTTAGCCAAAGTTGTGATATTTCTCAAATTTTGTTTTATGGATTTTATTAGATTCTGATATTTTAAAAAAAGAATTTTATGGTTAAGTAATCTTTTAAAATGTTGAATAATATTTTAACTCCCAAGTTATCATGGTTTCTCAATGGCAGAGTTCCTAAGTATCCTTTTATAGCAATTTATGTAACTGTCAGAATCTGGGGGACTTGGAAGAAAAACTATCTCAAATTTATTTGATCATACACCTCCCTTCCCCACAGCTAATACCTAGAGTGAAGGATACATACATATCCTCCTCCCTCAAAAAATAATCACTAGCAAAACAATTTGGGATGTGCTTCTTTAATGTGTCCGACTTAACAACTGAACAGATGAATGGGATCAGATGACTCGGAAGTAGGCAACAGAAAAGGAGCAGGTATAGGGCATCAAACTGTAAGCTTCCTTTTGGAATCTGAGATGCTACCATTACCCAAACTCCCAGCATTCGCCAACAAATTCCATACTTAGAAGGGTCAGCAATGTCAGCACAGATTGGGGACTCTACCATAAGACTGTGTCGTGGGGTATTTGTACACTGTGTGAAGGTGTATTTGCTGTGATTGTTGTAATAAAAAAAGCTGAACGGCCAATAGCTAGGCAGGAGGTATAACTGTGATTTCCAGGGAGAGAAAGAAAGAGGAGGAGATAATTCGAGGTGTGAGGAGATGCCGTGGAGACGTGGAACAAGTCAGACACACAGAATGGGAGAGACGTAAAAGCCATATGATAGAATATAATAAAAATATGGGTTAATTTAAGTTAGAGAGCTAGTGAGAAAAGCCTAAGCTAAGGCCAAACTTGGCATTATTTGTGAGCTGGCGGCCCAAAGGAAAGTCCGACTACAGGACTATTGTTTCACATACAAAACCTTAGAAACCTGGAGAACAGACAAACAGTACAGGAGGAAAATCTACTGTGTCAATAAACAATCCAAATGCGGTGAAAGCAGTGAGCCACAAATCCAAGGAACAGAGGGGGAAAAACAATAAAGAAACCCAAATATGATGTCACAATTGAGCTGATGAATATGGGAAGAGAAGAAATGATAAAATAGCCAGAGAAAAGGGACGCTGCCCTAGGGGAACAACGAAGCCAATGCGTAGTGACAGAGGACACAGTGTTGTTTGCTCTGGGCACTGGAGGGCAAGGGAAAACTTGCAGCGAGAGGGCATGGGGTGAGCTGGGGGCGGGGGCGCGTGCACGGAAACAGACAAAAGGCCGCGCTTGTTCTTCACTCTTCTCTGTTCTTCGAATATAGCTTCAGCTGCAGCCAGAAAACAGTGTCAGGGGAAGGGACAGCGGGGTTAAGGGGTAGGTGACCTGGCCGGAGCCTGGAGACCAGAGACAGGACTGAGAGCTTCACTCCGCCTGGGTGACAAGCAGATCCATGAGACAGATCGATCATCGGGTCTTTGGCCTTCCAGTGGTAAGACTGCTTGCCAAGGTCACCTCAGCAGGACTCTGGAGGGGAACCCTGGGCATCCATATTTCTCCACCCTTCATGTTCCTCAGTGTGCATCAGGTTTCACAAACCTCTGGAACACAGACTGTGTGATAGCATCGCAGTTTCCAAAATGAAGCTTACATTTGAAACCCTATACCTGCTCCTTTTCTGTTGCCTACTTCCGAGTCATCTGACCCGACTCCTCTGTTCAGACATCAACCTGCTTACCCATCAGGATTATTTAAAAACCTCCTTAAACCTGGGTTTCAGGAGGCCTGGGGCCACATCCGTATTTATCCTCAGCAGCTGCCAAAATAAATGTCCACCAGCTAGCCTCTTGAGGAGCCTGCCTGACTCCATTTTAAAGGTAGGAGCCATTATGTTGTATTTTTAAAAATGAGTTTCTGACTCAAAGCCTTTCCACTAAAATCAGGAACACGACAAGGCTGTCCACTCTCTCCATATCTCTTCAATATAGTGCTTGAAGTTCTAGCAATAGCAATAAGACAACATAAGGAGATCAAGGGGATTCGAATTGGAAAGGATGAAGTTAAACTTTCATTATTTGCTGACGATATGATAGTGTACATAAGTGACCCCAAAAACTCTACCAAAGAACTCCTACAGCTGATAAACACCTTTAGTAACGTGGCAGGATACAAGATCAACTCCAAAAAATCAGTGGCCCTCCTATACACAAAGGATAAAGAAGCGGAGAGGGAAATCAGAGAAACATCACCTTTCACGATAGCCACAAACAGCATAAAATATCTTGGGGTTACTCTAACCAAGGAAGTGAAAGACCTATTTGACAAGAACTTTAAGCCTTTGAAAAGAGAAATTGAGGAGGATACCAGAAAATGGAAAGACCTCCCCTGCTCTTGGATTGGGAGAATCAACATAGTAAAAATGGCAATTCTACCAAAAGCAATCTATAGATTCAATGCAATCCCCATCAAAATCCCATCAAACTTCTTCACAGACCTTGAGAGAATAATAATCAATTTTATATGGAAAAGCAAAAAACCCAGGATAGCCAAAACAATCTTATACAATAAAGGAACTTCTGGAGGCATTACTATCCCTGACTTCAAACTCTATTACAGAGCTACAGTATTGAAAACAGCTTGGTATTGGCATAAGAACAGAGAAGTCGACTTATGGAATCGAATAGAAGACCCGGATACTAACCCTCAAACCTATGAACACCTAATTTTCGACAAGGGAGCTAAAGGTATACAATGGAAGAAGGAAAGCGTCTTTAACAAATGGTGCTGGCATAACTGGATGTCAA